ACCCTTCCCTTCTCTGCCCAAGTACACCTGGTTGCCCAAGTCCCTTCGCCCACACTGTCCTCAGCCTGAGCTCGCCTGGCCCACAGAGGGCCCTGCCGAGGACTGGTGGGAACAGGGAATGGGGCAGGAAAGGCCACATCTGGATTCCTGGCCTGAAGCCCCCTCCCCCAAGCCAGCCATCACTCCCTCAGAAACTAACATTAACCTCGGCCAGGGATGACTTCCTCGCCCTCCTGACCCCTGTGCATGCCTTCGCCAAGACAGCCCCGGAGCCCCTCTAAGGGGTCTCCAGCCCCCGCCCCCACCCCTCCTGCAGCAGTAAACCCTCTCAGCCCCACTCTGCCCCTAACTGGCCTCAAGACTTTTAACCCTCACCATGTGGCCCCAGACCCTGCCTGCCCACCGCTCAGCATCCTTGCCCCAACACATGCCTTCCTGAACCTAGGAACAAGGAGAGAGGAAGAGAACGCCATGGCTGCCTCCGGGGAAGGGGGGGGGGGGGCGGGGGTTGGAGGGGGAGGGTTAGGGGCTATGGAAGAAGAGATGGCAACAGGTAGAAGCTGAAATTAGGTCTAGAAGGGATAAAAGTGATGGAATCAGGCAGAACTCTCCCCAGCATGGCTTTTTTCATTGTCAAAGTCAGTATCTCCCTATTCCCCAGGCTCCTACCAGTGCCCCTCCTCAAACTCAGGCTGAGCAACTAAAGGGGTAGCGGGAGGGGCAGGAGAGGCTCCAAAAAGAAACACACTTCCTGGTGGCTTCCTTCTTCTTATAGCTCCTGTCTCAACTGGGGGTGAGAGCAGTGGGGTGGGGGTGTACTGAGCTGTAGAACCAGAGCCTGGGCCTGTTGATGGGGAAGGACACAGACTGAGGGACTACTCGAGTATGTCTGTCCTTCTGCCCATAGGGGCAGAGAGACCCCACCACCCCCACTGCCCCCCCCCACAACGGGCTCTCAGACGAAGGATAAGGGGGTGGGGGTCAACACCCCAGCTAAAGCAGCCAGACCTACCCAGAGCATGCAGGACAGACAGATCCACGTCATCTTCGGGGGGCCCTGGACTCGGGCCACGTCCGGGGCCTGCAAACGACACTCTTGAGCTCACAGACCCTCGAACAGGCAGAAGAAAGCTCTAAGTCCCAGGCTGCTGCTCCGCGTAGCCAGCATCTGTGGGCCTCTGGCCCTGCCTGCCTCCAGCTCCCCCTCCCTCCTCCTCCCCCCACTCCACCCCCTTGTCCCAGCCTCCTGTCTCCTCCCTCCTCTAGGCTCCACTGGTGGCGGTGGGAGGCAAAAGCCTTGTTTTGCAGGGGGTGTGAAGGAGATAGAGCAAAGGGAAAACTACTAGAAACAGCCACCACCCCCACCCGCACCCCCACCCTCAGACACAAGTCCTGTGAGCCACGGAAGCTTCTCCTGCCTTCTGATCTGCTGCTGGCAGGGCTGGAGTCTGCTCTCCTCACTGCAGAGCCCTCCACCCCAACCACTGATGAATGGACAGACAGACATAGGACAGCACAGTCTGCACACCCCGGGGTTCCTTGGCACTGTCCCATCTCAAAGGACACACGCAGGCCTGCCTTTGAAACACACACTCATTTGCACACACTCAGCTACAGGTCTTAACACAAGAGAAACCAAGCCTGAGACTGCCGGAGAATGGCCCAGCCCCCAGGCTGTGCATTTCATTCCAATTTTTTTTTCCTACTTCTTTTTTTCCTTCTTTCTTTTCTCCAAACATCTGTCCCAGCCCTTCCTGCCCTTCCTAAAGGGAGCCCCGCTCCAGGCTCCCGCGAGAGTCTGTTTTTCTTGACTGTACCCTGGGCCAACATTTGGTTTGCATTTCCCCACTTCCTCCTCCACCTCCCTCTTCCCCCTCCCAGGGCCCAGTTTTTACCTCCCACCACTCCACTGCCTACTTCTCCCCAGTGTCCCATGCATTGCCCACCAGCCCTCCCCTCGCCTGTACCCTTCCCTTAGCCCAGGGACAATGGTTGGGGTCTAGAGGGTGGGAAGAAAAGGGGCACAGGATCCAAATGTCTTCTCAGGGAGCTCTGCAGAGAAAGTCAACAAAATCTGCCCCGGCCCTTACTGTCTCGATCCCCATATACACATCTCAAAAAACTTTCCTGCCGGCGTTCTGGCCTGGCTGGACCAAGAGAGAGTGGGTGGAGCTGGTGAATCACCAGTTCTGCTTTTTGGAGCTTTCCAGGGGAGGACAAGAAGGCTCAGCCCCACCCCCTTCTGTAGACACACACACACCAGGACACACGGTCCAACTCACATAAACACACAAAAGGCCAAAGACAGGGCCACACCCAGAGTAGGCACTCTGAGACCATTTTCTTGGATTGAGTAAGTTGGCAAGAAAGCGCTCTTGTTTGTGCTCCTATGCAGACACAGGAGAGTGCTGTACGTGCCCCAGGCCACACGTACAACAGTTACATATCCCCTGCCTCTCTCCCCCACTCACCCAGGAGCAGGCTCTGTCATTGTCTGTCAGCACCACACACAGTGCAACCTTAGGGTTCAGTCTCTACGGCCGGCCTCTCCCCTCAGGTGGACCTGCCCAGCCAGGTGTGCTGGCTCCCAGCCCACAGTCCAGCCAAGAATTCTACCTGGGATGAGAGGGAATCCCCGAGAATGAGAGGGAAGCATTCACACTTGGTCTGGGAAAAGGCTGTGATGTGGTCATGCAGGTGGTGTCCTGCTCAAGGGACTGGCACTCTATTGCCTGGTGATGCTGAGAAGTCGGGAGACACTGAAGCAAGTCTCTCATCTGGTCCTTCCTGGCCCGAGTTAAGAGTCTTTGATCTGATAAAGGAGATAGGGCGCAGGATCAGGGTCCCTTCTCACATCTCTCCAAGCCTTTCTGCAGAGGTATGGGGCTGCCAATGGTTCTGCCCTGCTTCCCTTGCCAGAATCGCAGTGCCCCTTGAGACCCCCTCCTAAGCCTGCTGGGGCTCAGCTGGCAGTTTAGCCAACACTGAAATGGACCAGTGTAGCTGGCCCCACAGCCACCTCTGGGGATGTCCACACAGAGACACTCTCACAAGCTCTCCCTCTCTGCTGGCTAGAGCAGAGGGCAAGCAGGGAGGAGCGGCCTCTGGTGGCCTCTCTGAGAGCCCTGAGCCCATCCCTGAGCCACCATCCCCAGCCCTGCCAGCCTCCTCCCTGCAGCTGTCTTGGGAGTTCTGAGAAATCACCTTGCAGCTTCCCAGAAATGCTAGAAAATGAGAGCAAAGACCAAATCACAGTAACACCAACTTGTCTGGCCTCCCACACAGCCCAAGGGGGCCCTGCGGCCCCCAGGCCAGCTCCCTCCCCAGTCCTCTCAACTGGAAGTGAAAATGGGAGTGCAAGACCCTGGGTTAGGAGTCCCCTTGAAGGAATCCTGACCCCAGAATGCCTCCACCCCTCTTTTCCAAGACTATGGAGGTCTCTCCTGTATCTTAGCCAATCATTGTTGGAAGTCGCTCCTGCTACCTAACTACCATCTTCCCTGCTGAATGTTCAACTCTGCCACCTGAGGTGTCTCTAACCATATATAATGGCCCTGTTTCAAGCTTGTTATCTATTATTTATCCTTCACAGTCTGGGGTCCCCTCCCACACCCACACACAGAGAAAGTGTCTTGGGCAAGGACATGTCCTGTGTTTTGCATCCCCAGAGCCTGCCATACAGCAGGTTGACATACGCAGTTGAAAAAGGAATGAATCAATCTATCAATCAATGGGTCCTAAGGAATTTTTCTACTCTGACCATCTACCATCCCCTCCCCAAACCTTTCTTCTCTTCCCCTCTGGCCCCCTTCAAAGGCCCTTGGGCCTACCTAGCCTGCACACCTTTGCACAGGCCTGTAACACCCACTCATCTTCAGCACCATCTCCCACCACCACCCCTACCCCAAACTCTCTCAAGCTGCAAACTCTCCAGAGGCCTAAGCATCGCTCATCCTGAGGTACACACCCCTGCCTGGACCAGGGCTTCACACGCAGCAGACATCAGGTACCTGCTGGTGGGCTGGCTGGGTTTTCTGGGCTGAAATCCCAAAGGCCTCAGAACCCATTTCCCTGTGCCACACCCCCCACTGCCCTGGCCATTTCTGCAGCAGGTTTGTGTATAATTCCACTCTCCCCTCTGCACACAGAGCCCTCCCCGCTCACCACCCACTGCCCTCCAGCCCCTGGGTCAGCAGCCAGCTGAAGAAACAGTCAGGACTGCAGGCTCTGGGGCTGGCCCTGGGCCCAGAGGCCGGCTGCGCTGAGGCAGCGGGAAGGGTGACTGAGGGCAGGAATGAAGGTGACGGCCTTGTAAGCCTTAGCCTGGCACTTCTCCCTCCCGGCCTCAGTTTCCTCGCCTACAAACTGACCAAGCTGCTGGTCACTAAGGTCCCTTCCAGCTCCACCATCTGTGATGCCACAACTATCCAAGGCCAAGGCCCAGCTCCCTCCTATTCCTTCTGCCTACCATTTGACACTTGTCCATCAAAAAGTTCTTCCTGTTGTCTAGCCATCTCTTATTGTGGCATCGAGCCTTTCCTCTGTCACCACTGGTCACAGAATCTGAGTGTCACAGAACATCAGAGATAGAAAGACCTCAGGCTCAGATAGTGGTCACGGTCAGGGTAGCTAGTAAAGTTGAGAGCCTTCCGGGGCCCAAAAGAAGTTACATGAGAGGAGCAGGCAAGGGGTCTTTAGGGACCTGGAGAGGGCAGGCCCAGCTAAAGGGGATGCGCACTCCTCAGGGAGAGCCACCGTGCCATCAGCTACAGAAGCCCACCCCGTCAGATCTTTTGATCTATCAAGAGAAGCCTCACATCTATATCATCATATAAAATCTTTTCTATAAAATATGAGAGAAAAATGCAAATTTTTAAATGTTGGCATTTTCTTTTTTTAAACCATTCTGCCTGCCAAATTAAACACGTCTGCCGCGGGGCGGGGGAGGGGGTTGCCTTTGGGGCACCACTCACCTAATCCAGCCCCCTTGTCTCACAGATGACAACACTGCAGTGGAGAGAGGGGTGGGCAGGAATTCCCAGGAAGCGTCCAGCTGCCCAGGCCAGGTCTAGCTTGGGGCGGGGGATGAGGGTAGGAGGGAACACACAGAGGTCCAACAAGGACAGGGCTGCCGCAGGGGTCAGGATGAGACCAACTGGCTCCCGAGTGACTCTAGATGTTTTTCCTAAGCACCTGCTGTCCAGTCACTGTCATGCCCTCAGCTTTCTCCTGCCAACCCTGCAGCCCACTGCCTTCCACACTGGGCTGCACGCACCAAAGCCTTCCTCCCAGCCAGCCCCAGGGGCCTCCCATCAAATAAGGGGGTGCAGAGCTGGCACTGGGGTTCCTCTCCAATGTCCAACTGCAGATATCAAAAGCACGGGACACAGGAATCTGACACCAAAGCACTCGGCAACTGTATCTATACGGTTTTGCCCCCTCAGACTCTGCACTCTGCCCTCTGCCCTGGGAGGGAGGGAGGGGGGAGGTGGGGGGACTAGCCAGGCATTTAATGTGGTACTGCACGTAAGCCTCCTACCGGTCTCCAATTCACAAATGCAGCAACTGAGGCACAGAGAGGTATAGCAACTTGCTCAGAGTCACACAGCTAATAGGTGTGAGAATGGAGTCCAGGGCATCTGGCTCCTCATTTTGCAGGGACCAAGAATTTCCTATTGCTCCTGTAGCAATACAGTCACCCAGGGCCTAGGAGTTACGGTCCTGTATTGTAGTGATGCGTTAGCCAGCTCCCCATTCCTCATCCAAGGTCTGGTGCTGCAGCCTCAGAAAGAAATCAGCTACTCAGGCACAGGTCTGGCTTGGATCAGGGGGTGATGCCAGGGTGGGGGGGGGACCAGAGGGACACAAAGGACAGTGCTGCCACATGGGTCAAAATGAAACCAACTGACTCTCCAGTGACTCTAGAAAAGCCAACAAGAAGAGAAAAACCGTAGTCCTGGCAAGACCTGGGGCCCAGGATTGAGTGAGGACAGGGTCTGGCACCTGCTGCCCACAGGTAAGCCAGGTTACTTCATCTGCTCCCCATACACACTCCGCCTCCGAGCTCTGGATACTCAGAGCCCAGCAGAGCCTCATGTACCGCTGCACAGGACACTCACTGCACAAGAGTACAGCCAGGATGTGAGTGGAGACTGAAGTCCCATCCATGCTCCTCTCATCAAGCCTGGCATGAGAAGCATCAGACCAAAGCAAGGGCACTCGCCCGAAAGCCCACCAAGGCACCCTATGGGTAGAGGAGGTCCTGCCCCTGGCCTCCATGCCCATTACTGGTGCAAGACTGAGGTCATTGTTCCTCAGTCTGGATGTTCCCTGGCAGGTAAGGCGAGGTTCCAACCAGGCCCTGTCTGAGCCTCAGTTCCCCCAGTTGACACAGGAAGGAGTATCATTCACATCCCGTTCCCCTTCCTCCCCGCACCAGCATCCTGGGTCGGGGGAGTGTCTGGGCCTAATTCCAACAATTTTTAATAAAATCCTTCCCAGAGTCCGATTCAGTGATCTTGATCTCTTCCTCAGCTCTAATTTCCTGCCTGACTCGGGCCCTCAAAGGCAGGCGGAAGGCCGCTGCAGCTTCTCATCCAGGCCCTCACCGCCAGCCCACAGCTCAAATCCTGGCCCAGAAGGTTAGGTCGTCCTCTACCTCTGCAAATGAGGGGGGGACAGATTGCTGAGTGGCCTGGGGTACCACTGACCTGATCCTGCGTGGCCATTTCCCGCTGCCTTTTCTCATATCTGAAAACCCGGACAGCGCAGCATCTGAACTCAGAGCCCACTGGAATGTGGATGGGGCTCCATCCCTGCGGCCCACAGTTGCAGCGCCTGCCTCCCAGCCAATCCTGGGGGACGGTGCATTGTGCTAGAAGATTTCAAAGCACACTGTGGGTGACTGGGGCGGACGCCTGCTGGCACCTTTCCCCACTGCGGAGTGGCAAAGAGGGAAACTGAGACCCAGGGGCAGTTTCTCATGGAGTGGAAGGATGCTTCCCATCCAGATGATGGGAGAAAGGGATACTGGGAGAAATCCTTCCCTCCCCATTACCCCAGATCAGGCCTGCCTGAGGTCTACAGGAGGTGATCCGCATTGCAAAGACATCATCATAATAAAGATATCCTCGACTCTTATTGAACACCTACCATGGAGTAGGCACTTTGGTAAATGCTTTAAATACATTTAATCCTCACAGCAACCCATTCTATACCAGAGTAAACTAGGGTACAGGCAGATGCAGTAGCTTGCCAAGGTCCACAGCTAGTAAATTGTAGAGCCAGGCAGACCCGCAGACTCGCGCTGCAGCTGGCACTCTTAACCGGAGAGGCACATTCAGCCCCCTCTCCCAGGACAAGGCCGCTCTGGGTCCCTAAAGGAGAGGCCGGGATCAGAAGGCCAGGCCCCATTACAGGACCCCAGTCCCTCATCGAAGGCCTCCTGGAGCTCAAGGTCATGCTTTGGGGTTCTCTCTGCCCCTCAGGGGAGAATTTGAGGTTATGTGCAGTTTTTCCAGTTCCTTACTCTTTGAGCCAGCTATGCCCCCACCTGTGCCCCCTCCCCAGCCCCCCCACCCCCCATCCCCCTACATACACACACACACACACAC